AAATATCTGTATATTTGACAGTAATTGTAGTATGTACTTAAGGTCGATGTAGGATAACTTACCGGAACTCCTTGCTGTGAGGTAACTGCTGTTTATTCTTTTTGTTATCTTCCCCAATAATATCATCAACACTGAATAGAAAAGAAGAATCAGATGGCAATTTCAGATGCCTTTTCCTCCAAGCAGCAACAAACACTGAAGCAATTTGAGTCAATGGACTCCCTACAAGTTTCTTGAAACGATATTTCTTTGTGCCAGTCAAGAACACGACAAGTCCAACAATAATAGCACAAGCGCATATACCATAACCCCATTCCCTTCCCACTTTATCCTGAATGTACACCAGTACTGTCACTGCAGCTAAAGCTCCTACGTTTATTAAGAAAAAGAACCAGCTGAAGAATTTTATCATCTGGCCTCTTTCCTTTTTGTCGGAATCGTCGAATTGGTCGGTACCGAAACCGGAGACGCTGGATTTTAAGCCGCCAGTGCCTAGAGCCGTCATGTATAGGGCGGTGTAAAGGACGGCGAGTTGTTCGCCGCTAGCTGGGATGCATGTTGAGCTTCCTAGTTCACACTTCGGAGGTCGCAGGCTTGGGATCATGGTTGATATTGTCAAAATTGTGACACCCTATTCATCATAGCAAACCAAAAAATTTAATTAGTACTTACAAAAGAAGAAACAATATTAATGCAATTTTCTATGTTTCAAAATTTATTATTAATATAATTATGGGTTCTTTACACAAATAGCCGTCCGGTTTTATTATTCACTTTTTCTAGCCGGTATACATAGATTATACATTGATTATACATGATTATACACATATTACATAGATTACACATATATTATACATTCGCTGGCTATTTTTAGTTTAAAGAATTAACCTAGATAGCCGTCCACTCAACCGCTTAAACTTAAAATAGCCGATGGATGTATAATTTATGAATAATTCATGTACAATATGTGTATAAATGTATATGATCAATATATAATTCATATATATCGGCTAAAAAAGTAAATAGCAAATATGACTGGTTATTTGTGTAAATCGTGTACGTAAGATTTTTTTTTTTTTTTTTAAATAAGGCTGACTCGTGGCTATATTTAATTAGTTCCAACATTTTAGAATAAACGAGTGTGAAGTCACTTAAGAAAACTAGAAAGAGATTTCTTCCGTTTCGGGTAAGAAGCATTGAAACTTACTATAGCTTGAACAGTGGCGAAGATGCCAATGGTAAGATACCTGCAATGATTAAACCAAGAAAAAATTAAAAGATGCTAAGAAAACACAATTAATTTTTTCATATATATATATATATATATATATATATATATATATATATATATATATATATATATATATATATATGTATATATTTAACTTTGTGCCGAAAATATTGAATTTAGTTGAAGCCGAAGCACAAAGGTAGTATCCGCCATTGATATTGTTTATATGTACTAACCTTCCGATGAAAGTGTCAGCAATGTAGCCACCAAGCAAAGTGAGGATATACGAAGTTCCCATAAAGTTAGTAACAATGTTTGCGGCGTTAGCATTACCCAAGTGCATGGTTTTAGTCAAGTACACCACCAGGTTTACAGCAATGCCTAGCGTTACTAGCCTCTCCACTGCCTCAACCCCTGTTATATATTATTATACATAAAACGTACAACTCTATGTTAAAAGATCAAGTAATGACAAGTGAAAAAAGAAGATCCACCAATCTAAGATCATGTCGCGGGCTCGAGTTTATGAGCCTGTCTGACATGAATCCTGAACAATGGATTTCGGATACCAGATGATTAAAAATGTGCAAAAAGAAGAGAAAAGACAAAGTCACCTAAAATCATGGCGGAACTAGCCCAACCACCAGAGAGTGATCTAAGAGTAGGTCGCCCTTTGTAATCCCAGGCATCTGGAATAGATTTTGTATCTTCTTGTGTCTGGGGAAGGTCCATAGTTAACTTCTTTCTTTTTTTGTATTTTTTGTATCTGTATGTTTCTTGAGAAATAGGTCAACTCCTGAGAACTGAGAGAAAATGGATAAAATTGGAGGTGTAGAAGGATTAAAGGAACATTGGGAGTAAAACTCAGAGCATTGCAGACTGAACTGATTCCTTCACCTTTTTATAGGAGAGTCGTGTGAATAATTGTTGTTTCTTTAATCATTTTTGTATACCTTAATTTTATATTTTATGTATTTCCATTTCAAATGGAAGGGTTTCTCTTCTATTCTTTATTTTGGGGTCCAGGAACATCAAATGATAGTGATCACGCCCAACTATACCATATAAAAAGGACTAAGCGGACGTTGCAAATATAATCCGGTTTACAAGTCCGGAGTCGAATCCTACAAAGAACTAAGGCTTAGCTACAGTTGTTCAATATTGCTAAGAAACACAAGTCCAAATAATTTCTTAATTATAAAGATTATAATGTTTATTTTTATCTAATTACCTAACAAATACTGGATAGCAGTAAAACTATCAATTAACAAGGATAAGGATTGGAGACAAGGTTAAGGAGGTCTAGAGTTATGATTTCTCCTATTGTCGAATCCTTTCCGCTATGTTTCCTATAAATTTGCCTAAGTCTTCTCTACCGATCATGAGCACTCCGACTGTTGTAACTCTCTCTCGAGTAATTACCGCAATTTACTAGACATATTCTCCCGAATTACGCTAGCTGGCATTGAGTATGGCTCACTCGGATCGCACCAAGGTTTCGTTATCCCTAATCCCACCTTTAAACCCTCCATATTGATCCGTCATATACGTTAGGAATGATGTTATTCAACAACTACCTAAATATGCACTCTCTCTCTAGTAATACACACTAAATAGGCACAGTCGATTGAGAACTCTTCAACCAACCACAATATAAACGTAGTTGAACAAATAGATAAAAAACTACAGCAAATCTATATTAACGTAACAGGAAAATCATCCTCCAATAGGTTCCATCAAAACCCTAGATAACAAATTAACTATTCATAATAGTATGCATAACTACAATACTAGAATTCATAACCAATAATGAAATAGGAAGAAGGAAGTGAAAACTCGTAGAAGAATTCCCCGCATTGCTCCTAGTGTGTTCTTGCCTACTTAGGTCGAATCTCCGGTCTCCACGACGGCTCCGTGCTCTCCTTAGGTCTAAAGTGTATCCAAACTCGATCTCTCCCCTCAAAAGTGGCGTTTTAGGTCTATTTATGTGTAGGAAAAGATCTAAACGTGTAAGCCAAGTCCTAGTCAAACCAGGAGACGAATAAGGTCTTCAAAACTCAGACTGGACCTGGCCTTAGGCTGGCCTCGCCAGGCTAAAGCCTGGTTCAGCCTGGCCTTACGCTGGCCTCACCAGGCTAAGGCCTGGTTGAGCTGGCTTTTGCCTGGCCTCTCCTTTTCGATGTTCTCGCGCACACTTTCAATGTTTAAGTATCCCTTTTGCTTTACTTTCATCTCCAATTGACCTACACATAAAATAGACTCCAGTACGCGCAAATAAAGTGTAATTTATCATTAAAGTATGTAAAATGCAAGGCATATAATGTACGAAACTGTGGAATCATACCACAAATCAATACCCCACACTTAAACATTGCTCGTCCTCGAGCAATCAAACTACACTTGTAGACACTACCTTTTTAAGCAATTCTCCTAACTCGTCATACCAAGAATCTTTAAAATAAACTAAGCACAAGGGTGTAACATCTTCACCTCAAGATTTAACTCGCAAGTACCATGCATTATTCAGCACTCACTCACTTACTCTAACTTGGAGGTCAATGACATTACATTTCCATCATGAATCACGTGCCCTCACACAACAAAAGAGAGTAGTTCCGTGCACAATAAATTTAAGAACAATTAGGAACTCAATATAGAAAGAATTCACTCACTCTCAGAAATAACATTCATATGCTACAAAAGATGCACCATAGGCTTGCCCGTAGTGTACTACTCTACTAATCAAGCTCATTCAGTCTAGGATCAAGTAGGACTTTAATTGGTTGTAATGTAGGCTGCGGGTCGGGTAGGATACATTTGGATATAAGAGTGACTACACCTCCCTAAGCACTTTAATACATACATTTTAACATTTGAAATCCCACTTATGTCAATCCAAAACTCCACCTTCACATCAATGTATATTACCCCATACTTCTTTAAGCACAATTACATCAAGAACCACCACTTATCAAGGAATATTTTTCACAACAATACAACTATTTTTTTCTCTTTCTTTTCTTTTTCTTTTTCAATTCAAGTGGCTCTTACTTTTTCAAAATAGTGCACCTTTCTCCTTATTTCATTAGTTCCACTCAAAAGCCAAACCAACCACCCCACACTTTAACTTTTACATAAATCATCACAATTCAAGTGCTCATGAGAGGTGACAAGGTTCAAATAGATGGTTAATTCAAACATTGGGTAAGGCTTGTAAAGTGGTTGCCAAAGAAACAGGATTACAGGCTCAAAGGGGTTAACTACGATACATAACCATTAGGCGGGTAAAATATACATATCTGGCTCAACAAAGAAACGCCTATATCACTTCCAAGACTGAACAAAACTACTATTTCGCTTTGCAAACACATGGGGCAAATTTTAGGCATCAAATGCAACGCACAGAATAACATACAAACCTCACACACACATGGCACATAACTCACTCAGGATTGGTTTTATCACGACACTCTAGTCAAAGCAGTTAAGCATATTTAAGATCATACGATTTACAGTACTTATACTAGAGTCAAAAATTGAGCCTAAGCGTCACAACCAAAGTACTCACTATTCTCAAGGCATAACAAGGTTAAGAGATATCGCTGCAATTCAATTCATCCACTAGCTCCCACTCCTAAAAAGAAAAAACTAACTACACCCGGTTCAAACAAAACCCTTGGAAAAGAACCGCGACACAAAGAAAAACCAAGGGACAATTACTACACTATTATACCTACAAAGAAAATCTTTTTGTCCTTTTTTTTTCTTTAAACTTAGATCCCTCAAGAAAATTGTCTAATAGATCCATTGTCGGGAAAAGTCCAATCTTTTTTTTTTAAATGTTATTCAATTAAACTAACACAGCTAAAGTAGTATAGAAAGTCACCTTGACAATCTCCTCACCCACACTTAAAATAGTCCCCAATGCTCACCATAACTAATAAAAGGGTAAAAGAAACTCCCTGGTAAGCCAAAGGCCGAAGCACTAGTAGCTCATGGGGTATTCAGACTTTTCTCAGGCTTGGTCCTTCGTGCGGGTACCTCACACTTAGTTCCAACCATCTGGTTTGCTGTTGCATCCTTCCAATAGCTTTTCTTTCCATGCTCCTAGAAAATCAAAAATAGACACTACAAAAATAATACAATTAAAAATATCTATAATAAAAATAAAATAAAATAAAGCAGTAAAGCTGGGTTGCCTCCCAACAAGCGCTTGATTTAACGTCGCGGCACGACGCGAATCACTTTCTGCCTCCACTTTGAACTTATGAATTGGACCCCAAGTTTTTATTCTGCTCTATGATCATGCTCCTGGGGCGATACAAATTGTTGCGAGCCAAAAATTAAATGATACTTTATGAACTTTTTGGCTTTCAACCGAAGAATGTCACTTTGCCAAGACGGCCTTGAAAATTTCAGAATATAGGGCTCATCTACCTCTTCTTTTTACTCTTACGTTGGCTCATACGGCTCAGTTTCCATTTCACCATCTGAACATAATGTAGAGAAGTGTTTGTCACACCTCCTTTTTTACACACCTACCCCGAAGGAGAAATGTATAAGGGAGTTTTTCCATTTAAAGTGACATTATTCGAAATGGGATTATTTATTTATTTTTAGAGTCGCCACTCGGGAAAGGATGGGCTTTTGGTGTCCCGAGTCACCGGTTTAAATTAAATCCCAAATCAAGGAAAAATTTCGACTTCCCAATTGGAGTCTGCGAACTAGAAATTCTGTGTAAGGAATTCTGTTGACCCGAGGGAAGGTGTTAGGCACCCCCGGATCCCGTGGTTCTAGCACGGTCGCTTAAATTATCATAAATGGCTACAATCTGATTTTTACTACAAGCTCCAACCTATAGTGCAATTTTAAGAATTATTCAACCGCTTTTAGTTTTTCTTTTTTTTTTTACGGAAAGTGAACACCGTTTAAGAGCGTGTTTTTGGATCACGTCACATGAAATGCACCCGGATCCTCAACACCTCTTATTCAGCATTTTGGGATTTGGATCTGGGTCGCATGAAATGCACACCCGTATTTAAGAAGGTGATATTATTTAAAAGCACGCCTAGAGTGGCTAACGTCTTATTAACTTTGTGGGAGGCCATGAAAATTCGCTAAATGGCACATCCCGAATCTCTAAAATATTTTAATAAAACGTTTAATGAGGGCCCCGCAAGTTTTGCATTTCGTTTGGCGAGGCTCATCTCAATTTATTTATTTAAAGGCCAGTCCTAAAGTAACTATGATTTTCTATTTATTATTTGTCCCTAAAAGGGCTAATTAATTTGCATTTATGAACTCGGGTCTCAAGTTCAAGTCCGAATTCAAACAAAAGGGCAGACCCTCTTAGTTTGAACCCGCTACCTAACTCGAAAACCTAAATTTATACTTGCAAATCAACTCCCATATTCCTGATGTAACTTTAAAAGGGGTTTTTGACTTATAACAATTTTTTGGGCCTAAGAGTTGACCCAAACATGAAGCAATCCTGTTGTCTGAGCTAGGCAGTCTACGTTCATGATGCAGCCAAACTTTGGGCTCAATATGAGCCCGATTCCGGAATAAGGCAAGAAAACCGGACAGGTCTTCAGTTGTAGTGCACATTGGGCCTGTCTTGATGGTCCAAATATTTACAACCATACTAAGCTAATGCTCAGATCCACATGTCAATTAATGCTCAAGTTATGAACTAGCATTTAATCTAGAATTGTGATAGACCTTTAGACTTAATCCGTGTACTTCTCAAACAAATCCAGTATAAACTAAACAAGAACTGAAAATCAATACTGGAAACGTGACTATTGTAATGTTACTATTATATCCAGCAAAACATTTGATATGGAATCATAAGCATTTGTATTACCC